AACATACGTTGTTCCCTTTGTCATCGGTATGTTACTTGCCTGAGATTTGATCGTCGGTATCCAATACCTAGTTCAATCTCGTTACCGGCAAGTCTCTTTACTCGTTCCATAACACATCATCTTATAACTAACTCATTAGTTACAATGCTTGCAAGGCTTAGGTGATGAGTATTACCGAGAGGGCCCAGAGATACCTCTCCGACAATCGGAGTGACAAAGCCTAATCTCGAATTATGCCAACCCAACATGTACCTTCGGAAACACCTGTAGAGCACCTTTATAATCACCCAGTTACGTTGTGACGTTTGGTAGCACACAAAGTATTCTTCCGGTAAACGGGAGTTGCACAATCTCATAGTTGCAGGAACTTTGTATAAGTCATGAAGAAAGCAATAGCAACATACTAAACGATCAAGTGCTAGGCTAACGGAATGGGTCATGTCAATCACATCATTCTCCTAATGACGTGATCCCGTTAATCAAATGACAACACATGTCTATGGTTAGGAAACATAACCATCTTTGATTAACGAGCTAGTCAAGTAGAGGCATACTAGTGACTATATGTTTGTCTATGTATTCACACATGTATCATGTTTCCGGTTAATACAATTCTAGCATGAATAATAAACATTTATCATGAAATAAGGAAATAAATAATAACTTTACTATTGCCTCTAGGGCATATTTCCTTCAATCTCCACGGGTCGTGTTTATATATCACGAGACGTTGTCTTTGATGAGACCAAGTTTCCCTTCTCTGAGCTTCACCCGAATGCCGGTGCCCTTCTTCAAAAAGAAATTCTCTTGTTACCTCCAAATCTCCTTAGCTATGATCAAGGGGGCGTTAACAATTGTGATGATCATATGTTGGCTAACCCTCTAAACAGTGCGCATGAGTCGTCTGGTGATGTTACAGGTGAACCAGGGGGCGAAAACGGCGAAGAAAATGGTGAAGAAATCGCTCCGGACGGGCCATATCGCATGTGCCGCAGCGAGGGGAACATATCCCCCTCGGGATTGCCGTTTTAGTGGGCCAGGCAATCAGCTCCAGGATCCGTGCCAGGTGACAGCGGCGGATCTACAGCAGACCAACCAGACGCGCCAGCCAACGCGCCCGACATAGTTGGCCGCACGCGCGCTATCAACCCGCCGCTTGACACGCGGCCAGCTCCGACTGGGCGAGGCACGCCCTCCGGCCCGCACCAATCACCAACTGCCATGCGGCCGCTCGATGGTGGCCAGGTCGCACGCATTTTGCGGCCCAACCTGCATGCCACAAGCGGCGCTCTGCCGTCCGTCAGACGCGCATCGAGGCCACGCCAGATTCCAACGGGCCCACGTCGTCATTGGCTCATGATGAGTCCGCCAGGTGGCCCGGATCTTCTATGGCTCTCATGTCACCAGCGCCTCAGCCCGCGTCACCAGCGCCTCGGCCCGTTGCCACAAAAGATCATATTCGGCTTGAATCAGCTGCTGCAGGCGGATCCACCTCGGAGTATGGTGTTGTCCTGTCTCCAGAAGGGGCGACGGGATCTTCTGCGGCTGCTACGAGCTCTCCCGCACCTCCACGTCGCACAAGGCTTCAACAAGGGGTAGTTCAACCTTTAAATTACAAACACATAACCAAGTATGGTTTGGTCTGCTCTACAGGAGAACCGGGCGAGCCCAGCACTCTTGAAGAAGCTCTCGGCAATGAAGAATGGAAAAAGGCAATGTGTGAAGAGTACAAAGCTCTAGAGAAAAACAAGACATGACACTTGGTTCCTCCACAACACGGTAAAAATCTTATTGATTGCAAGTGGGTGTTCAGGATTAAAATAAAATCCGATGGAACCATTGATCGTTATAAGGCTAGGCTCGTTGCAAAAGGCTTCAAGCAATGGTATGGTATAGACTACGAGGACACTTTTAGTCCGGTTGTTAAAGCTGCTACCATCCGTCTTGTTCTTTCTATTGCTGTGTCCAGAGGATGGAGTCTGAGGCAATTAGATGTACAGAACGTGTTTCTTCATGGTGTTCTGGAAGAGGAAGTGTACATGAGGCAACCTCCTGGGTTTGAAAGCAAAAATGCTCCCTCCTATGTTTGCAAGCTTGACAAAGCTCTATATGGACTAAAGCAAGCCCCAAGAGCGTGGTATTCTCGTCTCTGTCATAAAATGCAGGCACTTGGCTTTATTCCATCTAAGTCTGACACCTCATTGTTCATATATAATAAGTACAACACATGCATATTTGTTCTCATATATGTTGATGATATTATTGTGACAAGCTCATCTGATGAAGCAATCACAGGATTGTTAAAGGACTTGAGTGCAGACTTTGCTTTGAAAGATCTTGGAAACCTGCATTTCTTTCTTGGAATTGAGGTGAAGAGACACAAGGGTGGGCTTCATCTCTCTCAGGAAAAATATGCAACTGATCTGGTTAAAAAGGCTGGTTTACAAGGTTGTAAGCCCTCACCCACTCCTTTATCTAGTTCAGAAAAATTGTCTCTTACAGAAGGGACACTCTTGGATCAAGAGGGCAGCACGAGATATAGGAGTTTAGTAGGAGCATTGCAGTATCTCACTCTCACCAGGCCTGACATCTCCTTTGCTGTTAATAAAGTATGTCAGTTTCTGCATGCACCTACTACTGTTCACTTGACAGCTGCAAAACGTATAGTCAGATATGTTAAGAACACTTTGAGCATTGGTCTGAATTTTAGCAAGTCACCCTCTACTCTTGTCAGTGCCTTCTCTGACTCTGATTGGGCAGGATGCTTGGATGACAGAAGGTCAACTGGTGGGTTTGCTGTGTTTTTTGGACCCAACTTAATATCATGGTGTGCACGAAAACAGGCTACTGTCTCTAGATCAAGTACAGAGGCAGAATATAAAGCATTAGCAAATGCTACAGCAGAGATCATATGGGTTCAATCCATGTTGAAGGAGCTTGGTGTGAAAACTACACAAGTTCCATGTCTATGGTGTGATAACCTTGGTGCCACCTACCTCTCTGCAAATCCAGTCTTTCATGCCAGAACAAAGCATATAGAAATTGATTTCCATTTTGTCAGAGAAAGAGTTGCTCAGAAGAAGCTTGATATCCGGTTTGTACACTCCAGAGATCAAGTAGCAGATGGATTCACAAAGGCCTTACCTGTGAGGGGTTTTGAAGATTTCAAGCATAATCTCAACTTGACCAAGTTGTGATTAAGGGAAGGTGTTAAACATACAATGTATCTGGTCATATTGGAGATATATTCTCTTAGTTAGGAGATAGATAGAGGTAGGTAGGCGCACGTATTTATCTTATATTCAGTTGTAACCGGCTGCCTTATCTCTTGTATCTTCCTTCTTCTCCAAGTTGTATCTCCAACAGATTGTACGTGTATCAGGTCTCGCACACCTCCATATAACATGCAACACGTCGCCCATGATAGGGTAAGACGTTTCCGCTCTCGCACACTTTCTCTATTTTCGTGCTTCAACTTTGACCATAAATTTATCCAACGAGACCGACTGCGGCGGGAGCAAATGTTATACTAGTGAATTTCAAAAGAAGTTTTCAATTATATAATTTTTTCTCCCGACGCAATTGGTCTCGTTGGTCAAATCTATGGTTAAAGTTGAATCTCGAAAAGCGTGGGCGCACTATATTTTAAAATGGAGGGAGTACATAACAAGACCAGCAAGTATCACTATCGTATCTGCCTGCATGTAGCTCTGAATTTTGTGGGAAGATGACAGGCAGAAGGTGAGAAGCGCAAATGGCGAGGAGAAACCCTCCGAAGGAGGGGAGTGAATTTCCGTAAGAAAAAAAAGGAGGGGGGTGATTTGGAGCAAGGCGGAGGAGAAACAGAGACCTATTGCAAAGTGTATATGGGAGACGTGGCGTAGTAAGGTCGGCAGAGTAGTTTACAGTCGTTGCAGCAGCAAGCATCTCTTGGTTAGGTTTGTATATAGGCTTTGCACGTGTGGTGCATTGATGGTGGTATCGCACCAGATCACTGTGGTCAAAACTCTAAACAGCCTGGCTCTCCATCAAGTTTCTACTACAGTACGTATTTGGTAAAAAAAAGATTGCAATGCAGTAGACAACCACCAGTAGATCGTGCAAATTCAATTCACCCGTGTCCTCGGATTGACAGGCATCTTGTTGATTTTGGTAGACAAACAGCTACAGCCATGGGATCTTTGCTACTCCCTCAGTTTCAAAATATAAGTCCTTTTAGAGATTCAATCCGGATGTATATAGACGGGTTTTAGATTATAGATGCACTTGTTTTGTTCCGTGCGTAGTCCGTAATGGAATCTCTAAAAAGACTTATATTTATGAATGGCGGGAGTAATTTATGATGGCCAATCACTTGGTAGAAAGCTCACCTCCTGCCATGGAAGACACTGAAAGCAGAGAAAGAGCTTTCCCCTCCCCTGCCACTTTCATCCTGCTTGGTAATATGACCACCAATGCAAAAAACAAGATAACTAAATAATCTGCATTGGAAAAAAACACTGCATGTAGGAGTATTTTACCAAGTTGTAAAATCAGTACTGACAGAGAAAAAAGAACATGAGATTTCACATAACCAGAAGCTCTAATCTTGAGATATCAGAAGCTGGTTCTATTCTACTTCAAAAACATTAACAATGGACATAACCAAAACCGACAACACGTACGGAGGAAGGACATGAACAGGAAGAGATACGGTGTTCGTCCAAACATGTGGACAAGTATAACAAATCACTTCATGCGGAAAGTTTTCTCATGATCGGTAATACAAATATCTTTGACAAACGCTCACAGTTTCAAGTTAAAGTCAAATTAACTTACAAGCCCAAAACGAAATAACGTTCGAATTTCACAAGCAAAAATCATAAGAGTCTTGTGGCTTACAGGCACGCAGCAGTGTCCTGTTTTTATTGAAGTACGAATGGCACAAACTAAACCAGTAATCTCGACAAACAGAGGGTAAAGATGGATGATGAGTAAGCGCTCCATGAGAATGCCATATTTCAGCTGCTGATAACATGATCCACGATTATCTTTGGCGCCTTGATGGCCTTCAAATCATCTACTATGAAGTTGGTTATGTCATCTGCTGTGCTATTGACTCTGAGGTGCACCTCCTTGAGACTTTTCAGGGTGTCAACACCGAAAAGGCCCTCAAAGGCTTCGAACCGCATCTCGATCCTTTCAAGTGCTGGCATTGCATCTTCTGGGAAGCTCAGCTTTGGCACTAGAGGTGCAAAGAAGCGAAGCAGCTTAAGACTCTTGAATCCCTCACCTGGAACGTAGATTACCCCACCAGACTGTGATTTGTTATCATCAATGATGTCCACTATGGCCTCATCCTGCTTCGCTGCACTCAGCGAAAAGGTGAGGGAAAACAACAAAGGCAGGTCGCGCAGGAGCACAAAAGTATCTGTCCGGAGAACTGTCACAGAAAGGGTCAACTTGTTGAGGTTACTGAGTTTGGTAATCCACTGGGGAACATCTTTCAAATTGCCAGAGAGCTCAAGGGCACTGAGGTATCTTGGAGGTGCGCCGGACATGGTGTCCAACAAGTTGATAAAATCAGATCCCTCGTCGTTGAGCACCAGAGTCTGCAGACCACAGCTGCCAAGATACTCGATAGCAGAGCCTAACTGTGTCAAGGTTTCACTACCCTTCTGTAATCTGAGCTTGTAAATTGCAAGCTTCCTAAGCCCCGTCAATTGATGGAGGCCAGCAACACCTGTTGATTTGTCATCAATCTCGATCCCTGACAGTACACGGAGTGCTTTCATTGTCTCCTTAGTTATCTCTTGAGGCAACTTTAAACCCTTCCTTGAGCTTTTATTCCCGCCAAATATATTAATTATCCGTTTGAGCTGTCCTGCAGATTTTGGGAGCTCAGTAACATTCGTCTCCCTTAGGTCAAGAGTTTCTAGGTACTCGAGTTTTGCAATCTTAGAGGGTATTTTGGAAATATCTGTCTGCCTAAGGCTCAAATACTTCAGTACAAGCATTCTACACATGTCATTCAGATGTTTCTCTTTCAAACCCTTGCAACCCTCAAGATCCAGGACTTGTAAAATTCCATTATTGAAAGAATGGAAATGAAGTTGGTCTAGGCTCCGGAACATGGTCAGAGATCGCACTTGCGATAAGTTCATGTGTTTCGTTGAATTCCCATGCTCAGAACCACTGCTTTGTACAGAGAGTCGGCGGATTTTATTGGTCGGCATTGGCACCAGCCAGTGGCCACCAACCACAGTAATAAAATTCTCTTCGCTTGACTTCGAAACAATATATTCAAGGACCATATCATGCACTTGAAAGCTTTTTATCTTCCCGTTGCTGCTGTGCTCCACTGGACGTATTATCTTCCTTTTTATCAGCTGATTAAAGTATGTTTCTGCAACTTCTTCATCTGACAAGCCTTGCTTCTCACTAACGAAACCTTCGGCTATCAACCTCCGGGTGAAACGCTTCCTACTAATTTTTGAACCCTTAGGAAATATGCTCAGGTACAAAGAGCAGGTCCTGAGATCTGCAGGCAAATCATTGTAGCAATAATCGAGTATCCTTGTAACACCATCCAGGGTCAGAGAAGGCATCAACTCTGGAAATAATGAGTTACATGCCTCTTTCCAGTCTTTGATGGATTTGCGAGGGTTGCTAGCAACAATACCAGCCATGGTAACTATGGCCAAAGGCAGACCCCTGCATATTTTCCATACATCTTCAGGTGGGAGTTCTTTCTCACTACCTATGTTGTTGTTGGATTCAGAAACACTTTGATCAAACAATTTTTTAGACTCTTCATCACTAAGAAAATCGACTGAATGAAGAAAATTAATTTCTGCTCTTCGTGAGCAAGCAGCACTACCAACAGCCTGAAATCTTGTAGTCACTATTACTCTGCTGCCTTTTTTATCATTATGTGGCAAGCATTTTCTGATATTCTCCCATGTTTGTGCAGACCATATGTCATCAATCAGGAGGAGATATCTACCAATAACAAGAAACAATACACGTCAGCAAAAGACAAAATACACTTATCCAAGTTTATCTTTCGCGGGAGACAGTGCGTGCTAGGTGTCTCCTCTTGTAAATGTGCAACTATCAAGAACGTTGATTCATCTTCTTTTACCAAAAATAAATAAAAAAATAATCAACGTTCTCGATAGTTGCACATTTACAAGAGGATAAAAAAAAGAATCAACGTTGATTCATTGACGTCTATAATTTGCTGTCTAAAAGTTGTCTGGTGTATCTTCTCTGGTCTATTATTTACTGTGTGCAGGGGATAGATCGTTCCTGAATTGGCAGACTGTACTCTGTATTCTTTGTAATGGCTAGTTTGTATGGTTAGTTACTTGGTGCAAGCTCTACCTCCATTGCTTCAGGTTTTGGTAATTGATGACAAACTTATTACTGAGAATACAGATGTCATGAATACAGTGAATCAGCAGTAGTCAGTTTGATTTTGCCTTTTCAATATTTTTCTGATCCTAGTCGTGAAATATGGTAGACCCGGCTTTATTTGGCTAAGGATATTAAAATGAAACACTTGCTTAATTTTAGACTTTTGACATCCCTGCCTGTCCTGGCAAGCTTGATGCTCTTTCTATTGCACAGTTGGTGGGTGGATCAATTTGTGTAAACAATGGCTTTTCTATGTCCCCCAATCTTTTCAACTGAAATTTTGTCTGACATTGTCTCAATAAGAATGGTATGTCAGCAGTGCCAAGGTATTCACTAGTTTGATTAGTGGCAAATTCCATTATCTGACATCATCTTATATACTTGTGCATTTTAGTTCTATATAAGAGTTAACGTGATTGCTTGACAGCCTACGATCGTAAATCTCTCACTAGGCACTAGCTAGGTTTAAAATTTTAAGGTATTTTTGCAAAGGCAATTGCTGGCTAAACATTTCAGAAGAATGAGTGAATGTGTCCAATTATTATGACAAGGATTATTAGATTTAATGTGGATGGAACATTCAGTTTATTTATCCAAAGAAAAACAATCAATTGACAAAGAAGCAAAGAAACAATTTACAAATACCTCTTTTCGGCCAGATAAGTTTTTAGTTCTTCCATGAGTTCGCTGTGGCTCCTTCCTTCAATATTGGGATCACTCTCGTGTGGCTTGACTTGTTTCAGAATCATCCTGAGCACTGCACCCTGATCATAGTTTTGAGATACTGTGACCGATGCCCGACAATCAAATTTATCCCTGGCATTTTGGTACAACGCCATCGCAATAGTGGTCTTCCCCACGCCGCCAAATCCGGCTATGGACAGAACAATTCGCTCCTTATCACACATTTCAACAGGTTTGTCCAAGTCCAACCAATCCTCGAGCTTCTTCATGTCAGCCGTCACCCCCACAGGTTCCTTCGTAACAATGAGCTGATGGCCTGTGAGCTGATGCTCAGCAATTTCGTACGTAACAGCACGAACAAGAGGACCATTGTTCAAGTTGATTGGGTTGTCCACTCCATATCGTCTACGGCGCTTACCAATCTGTTGCGCCCGCACCTTGAGTTCAGCAATCTTGGACGCAATGTTACGGCGAGGCCACCACGTCCGGAGTTCGTAGAATCTTGTCCTGATGAATAAGCATTTGAAATCACTGCTGGGATCTCGGGGGATGCGGTGGGCAAAGTCATCAATGCAATCTTCAATGTCATAGCCCATGTCACGGATCTGCTTCATCCAGTCCTTGAGCCGGTTGTCATGACGGTCTGGGGCAGTGCTCAGGTCACGGAGAAAGGCCTGCATGCTTGCAAGCTCATCATTGATGTACTGAACATCGCCACGGACTCCACTCATCAGAGCATACTCCTGGGCAAGAAGGCCACCCAGCTTGCCCAGGAGAGACCTCATGGTAGTGTTTGAGGCACCTACTACCAACTCCATCTTGTCGCTCTTACTTTGTGATCTTCACTATCTGAATCTCTTCACAGAAACTTTCTGCCCCGAGTAGCTGAAGGTAAGACCCGAGGAGGCCTTTGTTGCATGGAACCAGATGCAGGCCACATCAATGGCAGACACCAGCAGAGCAGACTACCTTCGTGAATCAATTGTTTGGCTACAAGTACAATAAGTACAGCATTAGTATTAATCTATGCGATCCCCAAGCGAAACTGCCATTTAAATGGGCTCAAAATTTTGACTTCAAAGTAGGACAGTTTTGTCTCTAATCCTACCAAAAATATCCATCTGCTCTAAAAAAATATCCTGTGGGATAAAATTTAAATAAAAAAGCAAAATTTTACAAACAGCAGTTTGTAGTTCCAAAACAGAAAACAGGAATTAATAAGAAAACCAAACGGATTTATAGAACCCAAACTCTGTCCTCGTGATTAGCAGATCCCAGATCCCCAATTTTCCTGAAATGGAAACGAAATCAAAATGGTCTCGCAATTACCTGGCCGGAGCATCGACGACCTCAGACTTGACCATAGCCGAGAATCCCAGTAACGCCAAGCGCATCAACTGCCATTCGAGAGGGAACACGAAACAGTCAGATCCACTCTCAAAACGAGAAAGCTGGAGAAGAAAAGGAGCAGCGGCGAGGTAGAGGAAGCTGGAGAGGAAAAGGGGCACCTGTGGAGTACTGACGGACTTTGACTGGGTTGCCCGGAAGCATGCAACGGAAGTCGCCGGAGCAGCACGCGACGCGGCCAAGGGTTTGCCCGTTCTGTGGACTGAGGTCCCGCGGCCTAGAGACGTGGCCGGCCGACAACATTGGACATAGTTGACCTTTTCCCCCCATACCTGGCCAACTGGGCCGTGGCAGGCCAGTCCGTTAGAACGCATGCCCGGTCCGCACGTTGTTAATCGGGCCGTGCCCGGCACGACCCATTTAGGTTTTTTTTTCAAAGATTTTTTATTTTGTATGGGCTAATAGGCAGCCCAATAGGCTAAATACTAGGTGGGCTGACAACTAAACGTGTCGATGGGCCAGCCCGTTTAATTTGTCATGCCTGGGCCTGGGAGCGCAGCACACATGGAGGCCCGGCACGACCCGTTAGCATGCCTAGCCAGGTTGTGCCGTGTCAGGCCTGTATAACCCAGGCCGGGCCATGCAGTTATGGGTAATTCCAATTCTGATGACATTATACCAACTACTACTGATAACTCACAAGTACAGGGGATCAATTATAGCCCTTTTAATAAATAAGAGCGTCGAACCAAAAGAGAAGCTAAAGGTAACGCTTATATTCCCTTCAAGTTCTATCGACAACCGATACAACTCTACGCGCACTTAACGTTCGCTTTACCTAGAACAAGAATAAAACTAGAAGTACTTTCTAGGTGTAAAGGGATAGGTTTGCAAGACAATAAGAAACGTGAAAAATAAAGTTAAGTGTTGTTCTAATAAAAGTACAATTAAATTAATATAGCGAGTGTGGAGAAGTGGTGGTAGGACTTACGGAATTGTCCCTAAGCAATTGCTTGAGTTACTAGACTGGTAGCAATTTTTTATGTGGGAGAGGCCACTACTAGCATGTCATCCCTTAATTGGAATTTTTTGCACCTATAATTGGAACTACTAGATAATACCCCGCGCGTTGCTGCGGAATAGGTTGCAATATATACTAATATGATTTGATTCTATGAAACATGAAATTTTGGATTAATAATATGAAAACTAAAACCAATTGTACAGATGATTTGTTATATAATTTTTGTTTATTTAAAAAGTGACATTTTTTATGCATGGTACATAGTATTTATTTAGAATTGGCCAAATAATGATGAAATCATGTTATCCATTCAGCAAGTTAATCGATGATTTCTATGAGAACATGTCATGAGCGCTTCAGGCTTAATTTTTGGCTTTGGCGATCTTGAACTAAACTTAAATAAAGAAAACACTTTGGTAAACATAATTGGAATCCGAATAGACTTTTCATATTTTCGTAAGATCAAAGGAAGGCATGATGTTGAGGCGGCATGGGTTTGAACAATTTTAACGTACTTTAAAACTTGAATTATATATGGCGTTGCTCCATAGAGTTAGGAAAGCAATCTGCAGTAATCTTTTTCCTTATTGTTATCTTGTGCAAATCTTGTAAAGGATTAATTTGTTAGTTTAAGACGTCGCACTGTTTCAATCAAAATAAATGGTGGGACTCCAGCCCTCATGTACCTTTATCATCTATGTTTCGTTGTTCTGATATCACTAGTAGAAAAGAGGGCTTTGGTTCAGGCCGGGTCAGCCCATTAGTCCCGGTTCAGTTCAGAACCGGGACCCATGGGGGCACTGGTCCCAGTTCGTGAGCCCAGGGGGCCGGCCGGGCCATGTGGGCCATTGGTCCCGGTTCGTCTGGACCTTTTGGTCTCGGTTGGTGGGACGAACCGGGACCAATGGGCCTGGCTCCTGGCCCACCACCATTGGTCCCGGCTGGTGGCTCGAACCGGGACAACTGGCTACCCTTTAGTCCCGGTTCATGTCACGAACCGGGACCATTGAGATGCCTATATATACCCCTCGCCCGCGAGCAGAGCACTCCACTGCTCTGTTTTTCTCTGGCCGGGGAGGGGAGGGCTTTGTGGTGCTCTAGCTCACCTCCTATGCACTTGAAGTGTTCGATGAAATGCCCGAGCCACACTAGTTAAGCTTTCTCCTCTCGAAGCACGACCTCCGAACTCTATTTTCCCCGAGATTTGTCTAGGTTTATATTAGCGGCCCGTCACGCCCCGTCCCCGTCTTCACTGTTATCGATCGCCCGCGCCGATCTCGTCGCCGGCACCACCGTGGTGAGCCTCTTGTTCTTATCTTATTTCTGAAAAAAATCTTGCTTTAGATAGATACTTGTCTAATTTTCTTACTATTTTATTGCTTATTATTATATAGTGCGATGGTTTTGGTATCCGCCCCGTCGGCCCTCGTCCTGTCTATGATTCGGATATGGTATATATTATCTTTATAACTATTGCTTCATTTATTGTTTATGAAAATTATGCCAACCAACGTGACATAGATTTTATTTATCTAGGAGGTATGTGAACCGTAAATTCCAACCGAACCTATTGTCGAGAGGTTAAATTTAGTTGAAGAAGAAAACAATTTCTTGAAGGAAAAAATAAAAAAAATTGAGGAGGAGAAGATGATATTGGAGTTGCATGTTGCGGATGTCGTTGATGATCACAAGATCAAGATGGATGCAATGCGCTTGAAGATTAGAAAGATTAGAAAATATGCCATTCATACCGAGGCTTGGTATCATTATGCCGTTGGATCAATTGTTACCTTGGTTGCGATTATGATCGCATTTGTTTTCGCATTGAAATGTTTTACATAGTTTCAATGTATGGTTTAATTAATTTAGATGCTCTGGAGAGCTTTATGTTGTTAGATGAGAACTATGTATGTACTTTGGTTTTAATGTGATGATGAACTTTTATTAATTTGGTCACTTAATTATCTATTCATGATGTTCTGTAATGATTTTTGACACACTTAATTATATATAATGCACGCAGATGAACCAACAATGGATGTACAGTGACAGACACACCTCTGAGTACATTAAGGGCGTGCATGATTTTCTCGAAGTGGCTGAGGTAAACAAGCAGACTGGTTTTATGTGTTGTCCATGCCCTAAATGTGAGAATACAAAGTCTTACTCTGACCGGAAAATCCTTCACACCCACCTGCTTTACAATGGTTTCATGCCACACTATAATGTTTGGACGAGGCATGGAGAAATAGGGGTTATGATGGAAGACGACGAAGAAGAAGAGGACGATGACAACTATGTGCCCCCTGAACGGTGATGCTGCAATGGGGGAAACTGCTGAAGATCAAGAGGAACCAGAGGATGTGCTCAATGATGCTGCAACGGGGGAAGCTGCTGAAGATCAAGAGGAACCAGACGATGTGCCCGATGATGATGATCTCCGCCGGGTCATTGTCGATGCAAGGACGAAATGCGAAAGTCAAAAGGAGAAGCTGAAGTTCGATCGCATGTTAGAGGATCACAAAAAAGGGTTGTACCCCAATTGCGAAGATGGCAACACAAAGCTCGGTACCATACCGGAATTGCTGCAGTGGAAGGCAGAGAATGCTGTGCCTGACAAAGGATTTGAGAAGCTACTGAAAATATTGAAGAAGAAGCTTCCAAAGGATAACGAATTGCCTGACAGTACATACACAACAAAGAAGGTCGTATGCCCTCTAGGATTGGAGGTGCAGAAGATACATGCATGCCCTAATGACGGCATCCTGTACCGCGGTGCGTACAAGGATCTAAACGCATGCCCGGTATGTGGTGCATTACGGTATAAGATCAGACGAGATGACCCTGGTGATGTTGACAGCGAGCTCCCCAGGAAGAGGGTTCCTGCGAAGGTGATGTGGTATGCTCCTATAATACCACGATTGAAACGTCTGTTCAGAAACAGAGAGCATGCCAAGTTGATGCGATGGCACAATGAGGACCATAAGAAAGACGGGAAGTTGAGAGCACCCGCTGACGGGTCGCAGTGGAGAAAAATCAAGAGAAAGTACTGGGATGAGTTTGCAAGTGACCCAAGGAATGTATGGTTTGCTTTAAGCGCGGATGGCATTAATCCTTTCGGGGAGCAGAGCAGCAATCACAGCACCTGGCCCGTGACTCTATGTATGTATAACCTTCCTCCTTGGATGTGCATGAAGTGGAAGTTCATTATGATGCCAGTTCTCATCCAAGGACCTAAGCAACCCGGCAACGACATTGATGTGTATCTAAGGCCATTAGTTGAAGAACTTTTACACCTGTGGAATGGAAACGGTGTACGTACGTGGGATGAGCACAAACAGGAGGAATTTGACCTAAAGGCGTTGCTGTTCGTGACCATCAACGATTGGCCCGCTCTCAGTAACCTTTCAGGACAGACAAACAAGGGATACCACGCATGCACACACT